ATGCTAAATTGGAAATAGAAATTAATAAATGAATTGAAGGAAAGAAATTATGTTCAGCACATATTTAATATTAAATACAAATATATGACGTGGGAAATAACTGTTTCACTGGTAAATCGTAATTATTATTTCGAGAAATCTTGGAATGTCCAGAAATGAAAATCATCAAAGTTAAGTAATTATTACCAATTTTACACGACAATTACACTCAATGATAACGCACTTTATCAATTTATCGATTTATCGAATTGTCGACCAATCAACTGATAAATATTTTTTATATAATTATATACACAAAAAATATATGTTATAATATTTGTTTATCTAATCACTAAATCAATAGTTTCGATCATATCACTATAATTAACGACAATGATAATTAAAATGACGATAATGACAGTACAATTATTCGATAATGATGATATTATCATTCTTTTTTCTTCTTTTTATATTCACTTTTATTAAATACATAAATGAACAAAAATATTAAATATATGTTTATTTGACAACGAATGCAATTGAAGTATGATAGTGGAAAGTGACAGTTGTTAATTTGATCCTTAAATTCCCATTCATGTAATTAGGCCGAACATCATGATGATATATCATGCAAATTACAAACTATACTGATAATAATTGTTATTATTATTATTATTATTATTATTATTATTATTATTATTATTATTATTATTATTAATTATTATTATTATCATTATTATTATTATCATTACTTGCATTATTATCATTACTTGCATTATTATCACTTTTCTTTTTTCTTATCAATATTATTACAATTAATGTTATTATAAGTGATACATCATTGATTGAATGAAATAAATGTTTTTATACGTTTAACAAGCAATGAAATTGATTGATCAAAAGAATGAATAATTATATGAAATATTTGAAATCATAATGACACTTCAGTTTTCCTGTTTGTAAAAGAAAATTATTTATACGAAATATTTTGAATGCTCTTTTCAGTCTTTTATTTTCTATTTCTTTTTTTTCTTTTTTTAAAGTATTACTTAAATTATGTGGAAATAAATTATTCCAAGCTTCTTCCCTCTCTTTCCCTCTCTTTTCTCTTTCCCTTTCTCTTTCTCTCTTGTCTTGTTGTTTTCAGAAAGAAATAAAAGAAAAGGAAGGATTGGGGAAATATTTTTGCAATTTAATGAACTGATATATTCATAGCAATATGTTCTAAACAAAGTAATTCAATCCGGACCGTTAATTTATAACGAAAATGATTTTTCCATTTGTTCTTCCTCTTCTCTTCCAAATAGATAAAATATTTATCTGAAATAGATTTTATTATTATTATTATTATTATGATTATTATTATTATTA